GGAGGCAGAGCCAGGTGGATCATTGTGAGTTCGAGGCCAGCCTGGACTACCGAGTGAGTTCCAGGAAAGGCGCAAAGCTACACAGAGAAACCCTGTCTCGAAAAAAAACAAAAAAAAAAAAAGAATTATTATTGATGAGGAAGGGCCTAGCTCATTGTGGGTGGTTTCATCCTTGGACTGGTGGTCCTGGGTTCCATAATACATCAGGCTGAAGGATCCATGGAAATTAAGCCAGTAAGCAGATCCCCTCCATGGCCCCTACATCAGCTCCTGCCTCCAGGATCCTGTGCTCTTTGAGTTCCTGTCCTGACTTCCTTCAGTGATGAACAGTGATACAGAAGTGTAAGCTAAATAAACCCTTTCCTCCCCAACTTGCTTGCTGTGGGATGTATTTCTGTATGTAGTGAATATGTGTTGCTCTGATTGGTTGGTAAATAAAGCTGCATTGGCCTCTGGCAAAGCAGCTTAGAGGCAGGTGGGAAATCCAAGCACATACATGGAGAGAAGAAAGGAGAAAGAGACACCAGCCTGCCGCCAAAGGATCAAGATGCCTGCAGACCGGTAACACCGTGACCACATGGCAACATATAGATTAATGGAAATGAGTTAAGTTATAAGAGGTAGCTAGCAAGAAGCCAGCCATAGGCCATGCAATTGGTAATTAATAGTAAGGCTCTGAATGATTATTTTATAAGCAACTGAGAAAATGCGGGACCGGAGAAACCTTCTGGCTAAACTTGCCAGAACTATCATGTTTTGTCATGTTAGCAATAGAAACCCTAAATAAGACACTCCTGCTACCTTGACTTCCCATCAAGATGGGCTTGAAGAGCCTAGGAATATGAAAACTTGTGTGCCCATAGCCTATATACATATTCTAGGAAAGTTGGAGCTGGCAGCTCCTGTGGACAAAGGTTAATCTTTAACAGTGGCTTCTGTGTAACCTTCTGCCCTACATTCCTTTCAACTGTGGGAGAAAGCAGCTATGTCAAGATAGCCATAGGCTTTTGCAAACATCTTGAACTAACACCTTGAAATCAAAAGTGTAAATCTTGGAGTGAACTGTCACTCAAGGCCTAACCTCAAAATTGAAAAAGTTTCTTTGGGTTACTACCTGGCATATGGTTTTTGCTGCAAGAAGAGGCTTGTTGCCTCTTTTCAGTGTCAGAATCCCAACTTTGTCTGTGGCTAGAAGTTTTGAAACCCCACGGGGTTTGGAAAAGTATGCTTCTGGTTAATAAACTTTGGTGGTCTGGTCCCCATTATTTGTGCAACCCCAACAGGCTTTGTATCTTTCTTGGGGTTTCTATTGCTGTGATGAAACACCATGACCCTAAAGCAAGTTGGGGAGGAAAGGGTTTAGTTGGCTTACACTTCAACATTTCTTTCCTCACTGAAGGAAGTCAGGCCAGAAACTTTTTGCATGAATCCTAATTGGTCTTATAATAAAAACCCAGAGTCAGATATCAGGGTGAAAGCTGAAGGATCAGAGAAGCAGAGCAAGCCTCAGCCACCACCTCTTACCTCACCAGCTCCTTATCCTTAGCCTGCCAGAGCCAGTTCCTGTCTCTTCCCTTCTTATATTCCTTTCTCTGTCCAGCAATATCACTTCCTGTCTCAACCTTCCTAGTGCT